ATATCCATGAAGGAAACGTATCCAAGCACTGATTGCCTAAAAATGTTCATGTTTTCCTCTGAGAATGTAGCAGATGAAGCATAAGGACGACTGGCTAAAGAGGAACGAGTGCCAGTGCTCGCCCTTACCTGTTCCCAAGAAGTAAACAAATTCTGAATGGAGTGCAAAAATAGCATCAATGTCCTGTAAAGAAAAATGCAAGCGTTTAGCATTTTCATTACATTGAACGAAATGAAGATGAAAGATGAAACAAAGGTTACCTCATCAGTAGCTTTGGAAAATTGGGGCACATTACTGGTTGATTCGACCACCTGTGCGGACTTCCCTTTGTATAAATGAGCAGGCCCTTCCACAATGGGCATACTTACGGGATTTTCTGCAAGAATCAGGTGATAATGACTTAAATGCCAACAACATAAACAAGGAGAAAGACCATAAACTATATATTACCTTCCGGTTCAATACATTGGGGGTCAGCTCCCTAGAAGGGTGGAAATTCTCCAGTTGGCTGTGCGATTAAAGACTCTTGGACTGTGGGCCTCTCCTTAGGTAAAGTCCCCTCGTCAAAGGACTTGGACGGAGAAGCTTTGGTGGAAGGCAGTGGAGCAAGAGCCGGTAATGTCAGAGTTTTCAGAGGAGAAGTTGAGCTTTTCTGGAAGATCCAGGTAAAACATTAACATATGAATATGAAGGATTTTTCATGAATAAACAAACTTGATTACCTTTCTCGTGATGATGAGAGGGGCATCATCATCGTCATCTAGCAGACCTGACGAAGCTGGCCGTTTACGGATGGGAACACCTTTGGCTGTTCCAGTTTGAGCAGGTGGGGAACTAGATGAAAGAGTAGGATGTTTAACATGAGTAGGTGGGAATTTCGAAGGAGAAGTAGGGTTCCTGACAGATATAGGAATGGCATGAATATGAGAAATGGAAGGAGTCTCTAGCCTTTCCAGCTAGTGGAAAGCGTGGTTAACATCATTTGCGAATAAGCTACGCTTTATAGATGGCCAGAATTGTTCAAAAAGAGGGTGAACGACAAAAGTGGGATTAAAAGGGGCCAAGGAAAAACCGTTTGTCAAAAGAGTATTACGTCATCAATGACCTGTGCCTCTGTTTTATTGATAGTATGAAAACGGTATATCAGACTTTTGGAATAATAGGGAGGAACCGACCACGTTTGACCAAAACCAAGTTGACGTCATAAAAGGAATTGAGTGATAGGGAAAGGAAAAAAAGGAAGAGATTGAATTGTAGTCATAAAAGAATGAAAAAACGTCCCTATTGGACTTATTAGCATGGCTTAATTGGTTGATGGCCAGCCCGTAACAACTAACAGATCGAGGAGGAGTGGATGGAGCACCAAGTTGTGGAAAGTATGCTCTCAACCACAATTGAGCAAGCCAAAGAGGCCCGCTGCCAGTAGGAGATGCGCTATGCCTTAACTGGTATTGAAGGGAAGCCATGTCTCTATAAAAGGTGGCTAAGAATAATGAACAAAGATTTAAAGGCTTACCACGCACTAATTCATGCGCTATGGGCAAATAACTCATGGAAGGTTTAACGCTGGGTACACAAAGAATGTACTTACAAAGCCAAACTTGGATAAAAGCGACATGCTCAGCGTGAGCAGGTTCAGCACTAGAATTGTTATAAAGCTCCTGCATGCCCGAGTAAGAATCAGTGAATCTTTTATCAAATTTTGGGGCAGCACCAGTGACCAAAATGGCAGGAGAAATGGTGTCGCCCAAGGGCGGAAGATTTACTAGGGCTCCAACGTCCCTTAGAATAATAGACATTGGGCTAAGTGGGAAAATAAAAGTATTATACTCAGAAGACCAAAAACTTAAAGTAATAGAGAAAAGCACGACATCGTAGATTGGGGGATGGAGAGTGGATTTATCCTAGCGCGATAAAAAATCACCTTAGTAGGGCCATGATTTACCATACGTGGATGTCACATGCAAAAAGTAGTATCAGTTTTGGGCCAAGTAGGAATACATTTCTCGCGGATTAGCTTTAGTGGTAGAGGGTTTAGAAAAGGAGGATCTTGAGTGCAAGGAAATAGCTGGCCCATCACCGCTTGCCCAACAGATTCATCATCATTAAATGACGGGCCTAGGTAGAATTCATGGAGGTCAGGGTTAGCTGGTGAAAGAGAAGCTGGATTTATATACGGCTTGGTGAAGAGGTTTTGGAAGTCTTCGAAGCTAAGGGAGTTGTCAGAAGAGTTATATGAAGTCGCCATTTGCTACAAATTGCAGTATTGATGAGGGTTTTTGAGAAACGTAACAGAGAAGCAAGAAGATGAACATTGGTCTTTATAGGTGAAAGAGAAGCGCGCGATGCAAGACGTGGGTATAATGGCACTATGAAGTGGCGTGTCCTTTGGTTTATAGGAGTTGGGTGATACACTTTTCAAGATGTAGAGGGTTACCGCCAAACGAAATTAACGATTGGGATTCTCTGCCCTTTTTGGGATTTCAAGCATTACCGAAAAATACAAAGGAAGAATATAGCATAAGATTAATAATTGATATTAATTTTTCCATATTGGGGGGTAATTGTTGACATACAAAAAATGAGGCCCAATTAAATGGTTCAAAGAATGAAGCCCAATTAGGAAATTCGAAGGATGGACCCAAACGAGACCATATAAAAACCCAAGATGAAGTTATGTTATGGAGGCCCATCATTGCTCAAACCTACGAGACGCCCAGACGCCCAATATCTGGACGAGCCTATCATCGCTCAAGTTTGTGTGACGCCCAAAATCTGGGAGAATATAGCGTTCTAGTTACTGTTCGAAGCAACGGTTATTGAAGCAGTTAATGAGTGATCTTATGACATTCCACGATCCAAGAATTTCGGTTGCAAGAAGTTAAGTGATGAGAGTAATGGTAGCGGTTGAAAACGGTAGTTTCTTGACAAGTCATTCATAATGGAGAAAGTGGGTAGTTAAGAGTGAGAAGCAGTTTTCAAACGGTTCTACAAGGAAAACTGTCAAAGGAGTATAAGAGAGAGAGAAGAATTTAGAAGAGACATAAGATCAAACGACTCTCAAATAGAGAATTATGTAATTTTATTTTTTTTCTTCTTGTTAACCTTAAATTACTTTGTAAATTCAGTATGCTTGTGCCCCTTGAAAGCATTTTGTTTCGTCCATATTGTAATCTTTATAAATAAAACACCCATCGTTGGGACTTTGTCTCGAGAGGTTGTCGTTTCTTACACAATCATCTGAATCATCTTTTAATTGTTAGCATGCTTGATTTCCACGCGAAACACCTTAACAATCATATGCTTTGAGAGCTGTGAATTTTTTACGGCGAAGGTGTGAAACACAGAAATTGTACATAGACCGTACCAACACCCGACTATTTTTACGGTGTTTGAAGTAACTAACTTTGTTATGAATAATCAATATTTTACTTGGTCATTATGAACTTAATGTATTTCCAACTGAACTGATTTAACTGAAAATGCGAAAAAAATGAAATTTCAGAAAATCCACGAAGGTCACTGCACTGTAATTTGAAATGTTGCTGGGGTGGCAACGCCGCTTGACCGTTTTGGGTTTTAACAACATTGGGTAGGTAGTAAATTTTGCAGGAACATTCCCCAAAATCCCAAAAAAATAATATGATCTACGTATATTATGAATTTTTCTGTAAACGTCATGCATGCTGAAATTTTCTGCTTGATATCATTATTTGTACTACTTAATTGACAACTTTCTAAATTCGATAAAATCACGAT